AACACCCTGGGCAGCAGCACTGCATGAGCTGCTGACAGAATGGTGGCAGCCATTTCTATTCTCCCTCCACTCCCCCACAGTTAGGACCCAGGGCTGGTTCCCTGGTCGTCACTTCCCCCCTCATTCTCGTACTGGGAAGTCATCTTCCTGAGGCTTCAAAGAGTAACCAGTGGAGTCCTCAAATATAAAATACAAGCTTATGATAAACACATTGTTGGTGCTTCCTTTTGAACTCATGAAGGTGGATTCCGATTCCCCAGGCTTAAAACTATTTTTCTAACAGCGATCTCCTTGTCCAGGAAGTTTTAGCCATCTTTGTCAAGGGATCGCATCCTGGTTTACATCAAGGCAAAGTAATTTACAGATTAGAATGGAGATTTTCAAAGCCACCAAACATACTGAAATTAAGGGTTCCTTTGAAAAATTCAGCCTCTACTTGTTATCCATTTTTCCCACAGAGGCATTTCCATTTCCATAGAAACTTCTGTTCCTTTTTTCAGACAGAAGCATATCCATACATTTAATATAAATGGGATGCAAGACGCTAAGGGGGAAAAACAGACTACCTGTTTGTTCCTTTGGGTTCAAGGCAGCAAAAAGACAAACATGAGGGGTAAAGGTTGCAGTTTTCTGGGTAAGCTAGTTCCATATCAGTCATTAATATCAGCTGCAGGAGAACTCCTGAGGTCCCTTCCAACCCTAATTTTCAATGATTCTGTGATTCTGTTTCTACTTTTTGACTATTCATGGGATGTGATACTCATTAACTGCTAGAATTAGCTACTTGATTCAGCAGCTTATTTCAGAAGTGTAGAAGACTGTTTACTCATTTCAATCCCTTCCCTGTCCCCAACCTGCATTTTTTGCAAAGCTTGGCACTGACTGAATAGAAATAGTACCACTGATGAAAAGTAATTTCTTACAAGTGAACTTGAGGGTCTTTTCTTAAGTTTCCCAGCAACAGCCTTGATATACCAGCTTTTCTCCTACAGGAAGACATATATCCAGGGATCAAGGTCCTAGTAAAGGACATGGAAGACCCACATTCACTTCCCTGTGCTGCCACAAACTTCCTGGGTGACTTTGGGTAAGTCACAAAGTGACAGTTTTTAAAAAGAAGGTATTTTGGCTTTTATTAAAGCACAATAACAGCTCTTCCCTTCATCACAGGGATGTTATGGAAATAAATACTTAAGAAGATTGCAAGATGCTCAAATGTTGCAGTAACAGGGGTCATACAGGTACACCAAGACACTCTATTCATTTCTTGGAATGCCTTTTTTTAACCTTTTCAGACAAACATTTTAGTACTATCACCACATGTATTACTTAGGAGTTCCCTATTTAAGCAAGATCTGTCCTACATATCCCTTTATAGTGGATATGTAGGACAGAACTTCACTTCCCTGTCCCTACTTCATGTACTGGCTTAGGGAACTATGCTGACTAGATTGGTATAGGGGAAACAGAAGAAACCAAATGAATCAATCAGAAATTACTTTTGGCTTTGCCTTAAACATCCTCAACATACATGCACTGAGACAATAATCTCACAATCCAACATTAATTTAAAGAATACTGCTTTGATTTATGGGAACTAGTGCAATTTGAGAGAGAATGTCACGGAGGAATTGGTGTCTGCAGCAAAAAAGAAGTCAGACCTAATCTAAACTCTTTATAAGTTTTTCTGGATGAGTTAAAAAAAGTCTAGCCGATCTTTCAGAAGCAAGTAAACAGCAAGTGGGTATTAAAATGCAATTTCTCCCCTTGCAATCTGCCTTAAAGGCATTCATGTTTTATATAATGATTTGGCTTCCCTTTGTACCATTGCCTACTGTGCTGCTTTACAACAAATATAAGTGCCACACCATGTGACACTAAGCAGTCTGAAGGATTATATCCAAGTTGCATGCCGGGATTAAACTGTATGATTCAATCATACAACTAAATCCCTATTCAATGCTTTGAAAGTTTACCACTAAGCGTGAAGCTAAAACTATTAACTAATACCAGTCAGATATCTACCAACCACATCCTCTTGTTGTACAATATCAATAAGACACATGTCCAAAACTGTGCCTGACAAGAATTAATGAGCATTTGTTTGAAACAGGGACATTTTACCTTGGGACAGATTTTTTTTTCTAATTTATTGAAAATATTTTGCACCCTGAGGTATGGACTTCTGCCTAACTCACACAATCAAATAAAACTGAACACATATCTTTGTAATAAATGTATGACATGCAAACATGTAAACCTTGAGGCTCTGATTCTCATTTACATGAAGGCTCATTTACACCAAAGTGAAGAAGAGGGTTCCTTGTGCTAATGAGAATGAAGCCCATTCATTCTTGAACAGCAATTTTCACATATTACATTTAACATGTGAAGCTTTCATAATGCATCTCCATTCCACATGCAACAAACAAGCAAGCCACACATTATTTACACTAAAGCATTTTAAGAAAAGCAACTGGAAACAAAATAGAATGTAATTCTCTATAGTAGAATTTGCTCTTTAACCTAATCCTACTTCAGGAGTAAGAAAAAAATAGTATGTCCTTAAAAATATAATCAATGGATGAATACAGTGAATATTCTTTTTAAAATTAATTATCATTTTCCCAAGGTAAGCAAAATATATTTACTGGATTCATGGCAAACTATTGCCTTCTAGTTCTTATGCAACTTCCACTAATTTAAATCAAAATGTTTTGAGTCTTTCAGATCAGAATTTAGCCCTTTGGTGTTATCTTATTCTAAAATGAATTAAAGTAATATTGCTTTCAGAAATTTTGATTGTGTGTTACTGATGATAACCAGCAATGGGAATTACTACTAGGAATGTTAAATGTTTAGACCAGAAACACTTTTCAAGATAAATGTTTTGACCACATCTTAAAATGCATGCTAATATTTTCGGTGCGTTCACTAGGCTATGCAAACCTGCAGTGGTCTGTGTACTAGTACTTAGCAACCAGTCTGCAGTGCTGAGCAGAGTCATGTCACCTGAAGGGAAATTCCAAACAAAAGAAAATTGTTGGGCTTCATCGCAGATTGTAGAAGTTATTTAAAAACCTTCATCTTCCTTGGTTGAATTTATTTTGAATGAGCAAGCCTTCAACATGTAAATTCTAAAGTCAGAAATAAACCATGTTAAAAATAGCTTGCAGTGGTTTAGTTTACATTCTTCAATAAAACTCAACATTATGCTCACTGACAAACACAGACATTATTTGCAGATGTATTCACTGAATGTTTTTTGACTGACATGGGTGTATGAAAGGAAACTATACATACAACTCGTTGCATAAAAAGAGAAAATTTTGAGATCCCTATGTTATCTTTGTGCCTTATGTGTACAGAGCTCTTATTTAGATTAATAAGTAGTCCATATCAGATCAAAAGATAGCATGTGCCTCTCTCGGTTCAGAATATATCCTGTTCTGTGTTGCTGCAGAGCCTTCAAAATTGCACAGCAGGTACAGAAACCAGGAAAATTTACAACAAAGTCTTTAATGATCAGTAAGGTTTTTACCCATAGTACTGATTAATAGGAATATATTGATTTAATGAAATGAGCTTAAGCTACTATTTTCATAAGTGCCTGAGTCCAAATGAAACTTAAATGGAATTTAAGTCTCTAAGTGCCTAACGACTTTAAAAAAAGGGACTCTGGGACTTCCGAAAAACGTTATGCTGTACCAAAGGACATCTAATAATGTTTAATGGCAGAAAAAATGCTGTAGACATGATTTTTTAAAATCTCAATTAAAATAGTGAGAAAACCACATTTTTACACAAGCATTTACTTTACTGTTAATACTGTAGGTTTTTCTTAGAATTAAAATGATTTAAAGTTCAGATTTACAAACCCTATTTTACAGTAATAGAAGAAAGTAAATTATACACAACTGTAGCACAACTGACTGTCAACCTGATATCCCATAAGCTATCCCAAACAACAGTCGACTCCAATTAGAATGAATAACAGAGATGTTTGGGGAGCTGCAGGGGGACAACATCTGTTTGATTGACAGATGTCTCTTCTGGAAGAACGCAATGCATGCTCATAACCTAAAACAGTTTGGCTGTGTTATTTATGTATAATTGAATACAAAGCCTGCCTTTACTGCAAGAACTACTCAAAGTACATTTATATGAAAATTCTTTATAAAACTGTGATTCTAAAATGCAGTCTTGCTTAAGCATTAGAAACTTTTAATATAGTTAGCTAACTTAATTTGGATTTTTTTTATTGCTGAAGTTTGTTGTTAAGGATGCTTTTCACAACTAATTATATAAACAGCTTAATAGCTCTATATACAACTAATCTATAAAAAACTAAAGTTCTCTAAAACTATAATGTACAATTCGTAGGGTAGATATCTGCTCTACTGATAGCATTCAAATTTATATTGAGAACAAAAGATACGCAGCTGCTAAGTTCACTGATTTTTGCAAACCTGAAAAACTTAATATTTTACCATCACTAAATGGATTACACCTGTTTGAATCGTGAACAATCCAGCTGTAGCAAAAGCAGACTTCAATTTTAATTAACCTACATGGCAAAATTTTCATAACCAGAGTCACCTGCACTTGCACAAAGTATGAGAAATAGCCGTGAGCACTTTTAGTTTGCCTTTTTAGGTAAACAACTGTAAATATTTCCCTTTTTCCATCACTAAAATGAAAAATATTTTGTCAATGAATTTTAACTATCTTGTTTTCAGCAGTGCACATAATACTGACTCAGTGCATTCAAAATATGTGAAGGGAATATAAAACTGGTATGAGAACTATTGCTGGAAGCTGATAATAGTAACTACTGATAAACACTGAACATAGCCTTTATACATCATATTACATAAAGATGCAACACCTAAAATAGTAAAATATTTTTCTCTATATATCGCTTACTGCCTGAATGATTCATTGAACAAACATTTGGGACAAAATAAAGGATGAAACAGACAGAGAAAACAGTAGCTCACCTTCTGTGCCATTGGGTGTCATGGAATTATTATTTATGTGAGAGTTATCAAGTTTTGGACCACTGGGGGATTCGCTACTACCACTTAGTCGGCTATGCGGGCTTGCTAGATCCTGCATTTCCATAGACCTGAAAACAAAAAGTAGCCAATTTTACCTATACATTCAATTTGCATATGGAGGAATTGTCCATACAACATTTATCACACTTAATTAAAGCGCAAGATTAAATTTCTTCAAAAATACTTTTTAACTAATCAGTAGCACTCTCTATCATGTACTTTTTCCTTGGCATTAGTGTGTTAACTCTTGTGTTGTCATACTATATATTTGATTCATGATCAACAATCATGTCTAATACTGCAAATCTTAAAAGAATAAAATGTAAAATATAGGAAACTGCTCCTAAGATTTTCTGAGCAACTTACACCTTTTAAAGTATGAATAAGGGCAGAATCATAAATATCTACAGAAATATATCTCCTTAGCAACAGATTAACTCTGTTCTTCAAAATTTACCTCCCATTTGCAATTTAATGGGTCTCCAAACCAAATAAAACACTTGAAGTAATTGTTGAAACCTATAGTCCAGTGGCAGGGAATGAGATATTCCTGATGTATGTGTTTACTCTGGCAAACTACTTAATTGTTCCTCTGTTTCCATTGAAACAAATGCAGCATTAAAACATTATTATGTCTGCTAACTTGTTTGCTTTGTGGATTACATAAAGCGTGCCCAATTGAAAAGGGTTAAGGCCAACATACAGTGAATCCATGTAGGCGTTTGTATGCCTTGGCATTCTGCAATAGCTAAGTTGTCATTTGGTCAAAATAAAAAAAAAACAACACAATTTAGATTCAATGCAAAAAAATGAATATTCATAAGAATCTTGTTTATTGGCTTTATAAAAAAAATGTGCACTGACCATGACACACATTAGAAATCTCTCATCTTGTATCCATTATACTTTTAAACAAACTATATACTATATTAGTCTTTATAATGTCTAAAACTTCTGATAATGCCAATGATTAACTTTTTCAAAGTAATGTTTCCTTATAGAAAATTTGTAGTTTATGTTTCTCCAAATCAACTGAACCTGTAATGCTTCCACTTTCAATACGGTAGTGAAGGAACTTTTTAAAAAGTTACATAAAAATATATCTTTTCTCCCTCTATGCTTCATTTTTAAACATAAATATTGTTTCAACCATTTGATTTTGCATTTGAAATGAGTTCTGGCTATGAACATTTTTAAAACAAATCTTCCATTTTAACTTGCATCAGTAAAAATTGAACCACACATTTTAAAAGCAAAACTGTGGTTATAAAGTAGATTTTCTTTAAATAAAATGATTCAATTAAGAGCATTTCAGTGCAGAAGTGAATTTATTCATAGTTTTGACTTCAATGTATAAATTCAACTCATAAATCTTCAAGCATTTAAGTAAAGTTCTCCAGCTTAAAGTGGACAACAATAATAAAAATTTACTGCCACCTGAAATAAATAGCACTTTCCATACAGAGGCCAAATCAATCATATACTTACCTGCAACTTGAAGAAACAGCAACATCTGAACTGGTTTGAGACTTTTGCACCTGCAAACCAGAGAAGCAAATAGAAGCCTCAATTATTTTACTTTAATATGAGGCCTTAATTTGAACAAAGAATATTATTGCAGGTGACAATTCTTTCCTTTAAGCTAAAATGAGGAGGATACTGGAATAGTGAAAGGCATATTGTCTTTAAATTGAAGACTCAACTGTTGTTTCCTCCTGCAGGTCCTCCTCCCTTCTCCCCATGTCAGGGGGAAGGCAGCCAAATGACGGGATAGTGATTCATCACTGGCCTGTGACAGCTGCAAACTGGATTACCCCTCCCCCAAGCTACATGCAAAGCAGTCTTGCCAAGGTAGCTAGAAAGTGCCTGGAAAAGGTAGCTATTAACACAGTGAACAAGTTGAACTGAAGTAGCTCAAGCATTAAACACCCAGCATCCGCAGAAGATCTTTCATCTTTTGTTATCATTGGCTGAAATATCTCCTTCCCACCCCTTTAACTTTGAACAGTCTCTTAAACTTATCACATTAGATTTCTTCTTAATTTATCCTCTCTCATTTAAAACTAACCACGCATCAGCTTCTGGGCAATTTCAAATGTGGCATGGCAAGTCTGAAATAGCTAAAATATCTTCTTAAATGGGAAAATACAATTGTTATAGAGAGTTGAAAACTGTAATGAACAACCATATTATGCAACCATCTGAAAAGCCTGTCTATTTCCAATTGAGCCATTTACTTAAGGGTTTCACCATATTGCAAAATAAAGCAGATCAAAATGCCAAAGAACAGACATTGCTGCTCAAGAATTCTATTTATTAAATATTTATTCCATCTAATCATTTGTAGGATTTTTAGATACCAACCATCAAATAACACTCATTAAAACTGTAAATAACATGAACCTGGCTTTGGTGGCACTGAAGCAGAAGGCAGCTTGGTCTTTGCAGTGGAAATAAATGATCAGAACTTCCAAATGAATAAAACAATAACTTCCACCTCCCACTTGATGACTAGTATATTCTCATCCTTGATTATTAGAAAAAACATTATGAACCTGCATTCTGCTAGACAGCACTTAATACATTTTCTTTTATACCTGACTTTCCTCTATAGCAATAATTGTCAGCAGGTGAAAAATTCAGGTGAGGATAGGCTGTTGGCTTAAAAGAACAAACAAACTTCTTCAGGAAGAGTATATATTGTCTATAAGTCTGTGTTCAAAATCTTTCATTTCCATTCAACCTGAACTGACATCTCTTAGATGATCACAGAACAAAGACAAGGGAGATGAGGCATTTTAAGTGCCATAAAAATCATCCAAGCTTATCTCACTTATGTGTCTGCAGTTTTTGTTATTTTTAATGAGGCAGAATTACTACTTTAAGCAAGAGTAAACCACTGCTAGAAGCAGTCAAACAATGTATAACATTACAAATGATGTCAATAAGCATTCAATAACACATGCAAAAAACCTGCAATCTTTTTATAACTGCATATTTAAAAGCACTGCAAATTGTGCTTTCAAATACATTATAACATGCCAGATCAATGGGAATATCAGATGTGTTTGAAACAGCTATACCATATTAAAAAGAGAAAAAGAAAAATACTCAGATGTAACATGAAATTTTTTTTACTCCCAACCCCAGAAACCAGCAGAATGCCTCAGGTTATATTGCTCTCCTGCTATTTCTATACACCTGGAATAAATTATAGGTGAGAACTAACTTTGTTTTAAGAGCTATCTTTGCTTGGTAATATGGAAGATCATTTAAAAGATGTCTCCTATGAACACAAGACAAGTATTTTAATTTCTATTTTTAATTAGCTAAGCAACGTGGTGTCTGCACTGTATTTTTAATTATTGTCCAGTTCACCTCCACTTATACATTTCTAAAATAAAACAATTGCCAAAGTATATAATTATTCCAAAATATTTTTTAACAAATTCAGGATTGAGATGGAAAAAAGATGCTTTTTTTTTTGCTAGATGTAGCCTCACAAAATAAATATATACCTTTTATGTCTTTTTATACTGTATGGTTTGTGGAAGTTCATATCCATGATCTTCATTTTCATTAGGCATACTTCAGATATATTCCTTTGTGTCTCAAGGATTATTTAAACCATGTGTTGTGTGTTACCATATTTGAAAATGACTCTTTAATCAAAATAACTTTAAAACAACTAATCCTCACTTAGGCTGGTCAGCTGAATCCACATAGCGGTCCAGGAAAAATAAATCTACTCTCAAGAATGCGAATGCAGACAACAATTAGACACAGATGTGAGTGAAATTAGTTACAGTTTACAAAATGCTACACTTCACATGCTCTCAGTTTTTCATGTGTAGTACAAAATTACAATGTAGTAAGGAAACACACATGATGACTAGTTCATATGGGGGGGGGGAAATTCTAGGTTACACTGATTTGATCTTACTGATCTCTTCCCTTTGCTACCAGTTTCTAGACAAATGAAGCTTGAAAATATATTTTAGTAACAAGCCACTGAATAAAAGGAAAAATAAATGTTGGCCCTAACAATATGTTCAAAAAAGGTACACAAAAATAATTCAGAAAGACAGAAATGCTGTTGTTACCCACAGTATATTCAGTACTCCAATTAGACTAAAAATGTGTAAAATGACAAGACATAAAATCTTCACAATGCATCAGAAATTATTGCTATGCATAAATTGATTATTTTAAGTAATATTGACATCTTCATCCTTAATATGGATTGCAGATAACTGGGATTATATTAAGTATGACAAGACAAAAAGAGGACAGTGACAGAAAAACTACTTAAAATTCACCAATTAAGAATCTTAAACCAGTAACATCAAATTCTGATTAGCTAATGAGGTTTTTTAAGTTTGCCTTTTTTCTAATTAAATTTATAATTCTTCACAGATGTAGGTTTTGTTGATGTTCAATTTGTCTCTCTCATTTTGTTAAACCTCACATAGTACTCCACCAATCCATTGAATAGCCACATTAAATCTGTTAATACCATGCTCTTCAACCCCAGAAATTATTTCCAGAAGGCAAACTTGCTTTGAGAGATCATCAAACAGGACTTAAGGTACACATTTTATCACATTTTCCCTACCACAGAGCTCAGGATGCGGAGGAAAATTCATGACTTTTGCACTGTTTATTACACTTTGCTAAATTACAAATCAAAAGCATCTGACAGAAGATCATGTATGAAGCCAAAAAGCTAATAATGTTCTGTGAAAAGTAAACTGTAAATGGGAAGGGATTCTAAATCTCAATAGCACAGAGCAAATAAAATGTAGGTACTTGTCTAAATTATGGGTTTTCCACAGTCTTTTTGCTTGCTAGAAGCAATTTTTATAAAATGACTATAATTTAAAACATTTTTCCAGCTGAAAAGAAATTTTCAAAGTGAAAACATTAAGCTTATCCAAATAAATATAGCTGGCATGTGAGCTAGTCTTTTTTTTTTTACCACAGTTTTACTCTAGCTCCCAAAAATCTCAAAGACAATGGCAATTTTCTAATCAGACTATTTCTTCTTAGGAAAAGTGTTGTTTTCAAGAGAAGTATATATGTTTTTCATCATAGCATTCCCTTCCTCTTTTCCAACATTTTCCAGCCTTCACAAATAATTGCAGTTTCACGTGTAAAATGTACATAAATTAAAGTGAAAATCTAGCAGCAAAAGGTGACCTTGCTACACCCTATTAAAGACTTTCATTTTACTTTCACTCTTCAAAAATCATAAAAGTATACAGTGTAGAAAATAGGTGAGGAAGTAAAGTATTTTTTCACTCAATTACTACTTCAAAGACCAACTGTAATTGTCAAAAAGAAGTGGATGATCACAGCTATTTAATTTTTAAAACACTATATTTTTTTTGAAAATACTAAGCTTCACTCATATTTACACGCCTATTTGTAAAAAAAACAAAATATTTTGACGTCTAACTGATATGTGAACAGATTTAGTTTAGTAGGAGACAAATATTATTTTGGGTCAGTGTTTCTAACACATACAGAAACTTGAAAGTGTTTTCTGCTCCCCAAAGGCTTTTTGGCTCATTAGAAATACTTTACATTTGTCAATACTTTAAAAAAAAAAGATTGCTTTTCTTTGGAGTTGTGTATTCTAATGTGCAGTCCAAAAGGTGAAGAGTGATATATTTCAGCTTCTGTGGCTGTCACCGCACAAAATTTTCAAGTTTGAAAAATTACGGCTGTTCGCTTACAGAACATATTGGGTCTGAGGAAAATCCAAGCAGCAAGGGAATTCCATAACTAAATATTTCATTGCATGTGAACTAGTGAGTACACACACATATCACATGTGCACACAATTATGCAGCCTTAATTTTGCACAAAATTATTTCAGTTAGGAATTTGAGAGAAATGGCTCTTAAATGTATTTGTAGAATAAGAGACTTCTGGTTGCACAGGAAACGATATTCCTATAAAATTATCTTTTTAATGATTTAAAAGGCAAAAAGGATTAAAGCAGTTGCATTGTTTGGTGTTTTAAAAAAGTTTTATGAACTTTTTTGTTTGTCTCATTTAAGAAGCTTGGTTGGTAAAAATTTCCAAAGCAGCAGCACTTTTCAAGTCCCTGACATCTCTTCTTGTATAGAATAAATCTTTTATTGGAGCAGCTAGTCATCCCTTTTATTGATTCGTGTCAAAAACACCTCAAGAAATACATACTAGTGAATGTTTTGTGAGTCTTGATTGCTCAAAAGCAAGATGTAAAATTTAATGAGACTTCAAAGAGCCTTAACTTCCTGGTTCTAAGATCTTAATTCTAAACAAGCCACATAAAATGTCAATAAATGTCAGATATTTTAGTTGTGTAGGTGTTTATTCTGTCCCAAGAAGTCCTCCTTTGGGGATCTGCATGTTGTGCCTGGTGTTTGGAAAATTAAAACATATTAAGCACAAGGATTTCCTGCTTCAGAAGCGCTGTCAAAACCTCTGTCATGCCTTCTTCCTCTGAATTTCTTCATTATTTTGTTTTTCTCCTGCTCTTGAACCTCCTTCACACCGGTCTGTAGAAATCATGTGTATTGCATTTGATTTTAAACCGCAGCAACTCAGCATCCGTTCGGTTTCTTTTCAATGAACCGCTCCCCCCTTAGGAAACCAAACGGGAGCAAGGAAGAGGAGCCACCGCCTGACTGCAATGAATAGAGCAATGTAACATCTGCTTTGGGGGCAGACACCCAAACCTGAAACAGGGCCAGAATGAGCCGGTTAAAAAACCCAAACCAAACCTGCGATTTATAATTGGGTATTAATGCAATCACGAAACAGAGAAAGGGCTGCTGTGATGGGACCCCATGCAAGGTTACTGCAGGGCTTGGGGGGAAAAAAAACCACGCTGTTGTGCAATGAGGCCATCTCATTCATGGATTTATGTATTAATTTCTTCTTTCTTTTCTAAAGAAGGAGCTTCACTAGAAAAGAGCCAGTGTTATCTCCCTGCCTTGCAACGCAGGACAGCTGCTGTCAGTCCATGCGAGTTTTAAACCAGCCGCTTTGTACTTACAGTGATCGGATCTGCTGCATCCACCAGTTTTAGGTGCTCCCTTCCCCTTCTCTGACTCCGATCACCATGCCTCACATAGTTTTTATTCCTGGGCAGAGCGAGAGGAGCGCTGGGCTCCGCCGCCGGCCGCCCCCGGGTTAGCAGCGCGGCCGGAGCGCGGCGTCCCTGGAGGGCAAACCCGAGCTGAGCGCGAGGGCTCGTGCGCTGCCTGCTGCAGGCTCTGCCTGCAAACGCGTCTGAAGCGGGGAAGCTGCTTCTCCAGAAAGGGAGGGGAGAAAAAAAAAGCGAGAAAAAAAAAAAGCAGCACACCACCACTGACTTTCACAGGAAGACTTAGAGTCGGAAGTGGCACCGGGGAGTTTGCATCTCGCACCAAACTCTTGAACCATCAGCTCCTACTGTTCTAGTGCGGAGCAGCGTGCTTCCCCCCCACTGCACAGCAGCTGATCATATCTGAGAGCCTCAGACAAAGAAACGGCAGAATCTTCATCCCTCCTATTTGTTTGCTGAGTCTTGTAGGTCTGCCCATGTAGCCTCAGGGCTTTTCTTTTCTCTTTTTCCTTTTTTTCTTTCTTGTGTGTGTTTTTGTAATGCAAACCACAGCTATTCTCTTGTCCCAACCTTATTGGTTTAAATGGAACAATTGAAATGAGTCCTGTGCTGTCTGAGTCAGCCTTACTGCTTAACAAAAATTTAGGATGTAAATGAAGGAGCCTGTGGTAGCTGAACAAACAGCTGTGCCTGAAGAACACAGCTCCAGCTCTGTGTCAACAACCCGGGTGTCTTTCCCCAGCAGCTAGCCATTCATATCTCCTGGTGGCAACTACACAGGACCTTTCTGCACACCTTTTTTCTGTTCCTCGCTCAAAAGAGCAGTGACGTTCTTTCTGTTCTCTTCCGCTCTAAAAAAGTTTCGACTCGGATGAAAAGTGTCAATTTCTGTTAAGATGGATTTACTGATCAACAACTAAAAAGCTGAAAAACTGGACATAAATCAACTTTATTTCAATAATGAAGCCAAATAAAGACATCCACAGAGACTTAAGCACACAGAACACAAGTCTAGGCATGCAGTTCTGATTGGATGTGTAACAGATTTGATCTCAAATATCTAAGATTCTTGTAAACTCAAAGAAAATGTCTGCTCATACTGTATAAGTTATTCACTTTTAAGATACTCAACACCATATCTGGAACTTTTAACAGTACAAAAAATGTAGCTATATGTAAAATACCTGTACTTCACACCCAAAAAATCAGAATTACTTGATTAATATTTAAAATGTTATTACTCAGCATTAAAGTTTTTTTTTTTTTTTTTTTTTTTTAATACGTGGCATGGCTTATACATTTGCTTAGAATTTAGAAATGTTTCCAATGAAATGGAAGGAAATACGCAATCCTATTGACAAAAAGATAGATGCAAGCATTACATTAACACTGAATATTTAAAACGTACAGTCTGCCAATCAATAAAAGATAAAATAATTAACCTAATTAAAAGTGATTTTTAAAATAAACCTATTTCAGATAATAGCTGAAAACTACAGCATAGAGTCAGTAATAAATATTAAATATATAATATATAGTTAAACACATTTTGACTATTCTTTGGAGCAATTTGTTCCTACACAAAATATATTTCAGTTAGCCTAACACTTATTTTTTCTACATATCCACAGAAGAAATCGTCAAAGTAAGGTAAGGAAAGCAGCCTAATGATTTACAATGTTAAAAACACTTCTTAAGAATATGCCAGTTCTAGGGTACTATGTAAATTAAGTTTTATGCTTACATTAAATTAATGTTTTTCAATAAAGAAGTCACTATATACTAACAGATCCTTACCTTAAATTAACTAATCTGTGAATGAAAGGAATACTTCTAAAGGAGAAGTATCTTCTGGCTACCATATCCAAGCAAGTGACACATTTTTGTTCAGAAAGTACTTGGGGGAATACTTCAGGAAAGAAGATCGTTTTGCAAAGCTACGAGACAACCTCAAACTGCAAACGCACCTAGGATTTCATTTTGTTTAGTGCAGAAAAGGAATCTCGGGATAGTCACATACCATATATGGGAGCTCAGGTCAAAATAAGCAGATTTCTATTGGACCTGTCCATGTAGCCAGCATAACCAGAATTAGTTTACCTATTTATATTCATACAACAGTTATCCTGCCAAAAGCTCTGTTTAAGATGTTATATATTAAACTGTGAAACATATACAAAACCCTTATCACAGAGGAAACCAGTTTTGTCAGGTAAAATTCAATGAAAGACTGAAATACAAATAAATGAGGATTCTCAGACCTCTTTCAAAAAGTGTTTAGTTCCAGGAACTTATCACTCTAGTATTTATTACAGGCGTTAATGAGATCATTTAAAAACATCTATCCAATCCCGCAAATACTTAATCATATGCCTACATTTACTCTCTCTAAGAGTTCTGTCTATTAGCATGGGCAATATTACGTCCATGTTCAATAGTATGAAAGAACAAGTTTTGAAGAAATCTCAAAATTAAAATGTTATTCTAATATTTTAAAGCTTGACTCAATACAAATGTAAAAAAAAAAAAATAAAAGCCTCAAAAGATATATAAAGGAAAAAGTTTAAAAGCAGAAGCAATACTTGAGACTTCTCATAATTAAGATTAACTGCCACACAATTTCTTTTTACATTTTTCAAATAAAAAAGTTATTTGAAATGCAGTTTGCTATTTTGGAACATATGCTGAATGAAACAGATCTGACTTCTATTGTTTAATTTTATACCTGTGTAAGTAAAAGATCAGCCCTTTGGAAATTTAACCCCTCTTCTCCCACAAAAAAGAATGAAACTACATAAGAGGCCTACAGTAGTGGCAAACACATTGTAAGTCACAACTGGGTACAAGACAGCCAGAAAAAAGGTGCTGTAATTAGTATTGCAAGAAAGGAGTCTATTTTAATAGAATAGAAATATTAGTTTTGGCACACAGACAATATGTTAATTGGGGTCATATAAACATAACAGATTTATATATAATACAGCAACTAAAGAGAGGATGAAAGATAAAGTAGGGTCCACTTTGTTTATACAGCCATTAAACAGTGCCTTATATTCTTTATCTGATGTCTGAAGATTGGACTTCAGCATGCTCTGAAACATTATCTCATGGTATGGACTATACTACAGACTTATTTTACAATAATACTCTAGGCCAGATCCACACATCATACCTTGATTGACTACAGTAATGATAAGCTGATTTACATCACCCACCAATCTCACTCTATTAAAATCAAATTATGCTTTTTCATACTTAAAGTAAAGATCAGCTTTACTCTACAGCCTCCTGATAGATCAGCTTTACTCTACAGCCTCCTGATAGTTGTGTTTCTTGTTCTGCCACCTTGGCAGGAACATTCAAGTCCCTGACTGCCAAATCAGTACAATCATGCTATTTACTACTCACACCCAAAGTCTCATTTACACCATTGCTTACGTTAATGGGGATAGTGGAATATGGGTTTTTAATGAGAATTTAATGCACATACTTATGCCAGGCCTGGATTTGCCCTGATCCTGGATTTCTTGTACGCTCAATTACCATTCATGAATTCCTAAGGAACTGAGGATCCACTGTGCATGAATATGTAATAGCAAGTGTACAACAAGCTCATAGGATGTAGTTCCACCAGCTTTGCTCACATTATTTAGTGCTTCAGTCCACTGAAATCCCACTGATTCAAACAGTTACAACAGGTTCCACAGGAACACAGAATTTACTGGGTATTTACAAGCCACAGAGACAGCCATATTACTGAAACTGTTTGGGTAAAGACAGAAGATTGTGATGCAGAACACTGGAATTTAGTATTTCAATGTTTGTCTCTATGTAGGATATGCTGCATAAATATTTAACATTATAATGCGTGCACAAGATGACCATCTGCATGTCCCCCCCTATGAAAACAAAAGAAGGATGCATTCTAAGGTTAATTTTATTATTAAGTGATGCTCACTTTTGGGATTTTCCACTACAATTTTAATATAACGTCTCAAACCCCTCAAACAGACAATATCTTCCCTGTCTCCAAACAAGTTTTATCTTACACATAGCAGCTGTTGCCTAGATACATGCCTAGCTGCAGCAGAAGTTTGCAGTGTTTGACAGGAGCTCTTATTGCTTCATGCTACTGATTTGATCAGAAACAGAAAGCCTTTGGTGATTACAAAGAAAAACAATGGTAGAAATGATCCATTCAAACTTTTTTCCCCTGCAATATCTATAATTTTGGGAAGGACAAGGCTTGATTAATGTTACCGGCATTTAATTGTGCTCTTTCAAGAACTTCCTAGTGCATGTAGTGATGAATTAAGATACAGTATAATGCACAATCATTAAACTTGCAAGCTGCTGACTTATAACTGTTAAGTCAAAAGACATTCAAACTGCTATCCTATATTACATCTTTTCAAATTTGAAGACAGATATATTTTTTTTTCACGTCAACAGTTTCAGTATAGAGGCTCAGGCTCATATTTTTTTATATTACAGTAGATCTTGCAAATATGCACTGCCTTGAAGTAACATCTTCTCAGAAATTATTTTAGCTAGTGCTGAGATACTTCTATAATCTATATTATAAAATAACTATGAAGTAAAGGAAGCTGCAGAAAGATATGAATGCCATCTAGATTCAGAGTCTAATTTGACAAAGTTATCTCAATAGTTCACTATTTTTCATCCCTCAAAGCCATAACCAAAAAATGTAGCTGTGTGATGCATGATTATTTTTACCATTATAAGAGAAGATTTTTTCTATTATTTGTAGATCTGGCATATACAGGACATGTTTTCTTAAGTTTTTCACTAAAAATGAAGTACCATAAAAGTTATTTTTTACATAAAGAAATAATAGATTATAAATCTACCAAATATCCCAGCAGAAAATTAGTGTGATCTTTTTAGCACAGCACTAAATTTTAAACATCAGTAATATTGTACTCCACCTTCTTGTTCTCTTTCCATCTAACAGCACGTCTCCAAAATCTATCACTTCCCTTTTCTACTGAACTCTAAAACTGAATGACATTTTTGGCTTCCATATGAAACCAGTCAAAGTTACAACCTGAGGAGATATTCTACTCAGTAACGGTGCCATCATTGCTGAGAAGGTTGAGAAGGTCTCTGCCATGATACTCTATTGGCACAATCTGTGGGAATAAGACCCTACTCCTGATTGAGAGATTCCAAGTGGTGTGCTATTGTAACCCCACTAAACAC